ACCCAGCCAGGAGCCTGGCATTCTAAGTGGTGCCATTATGAACTTGCAGAGGCTCAGAAAACAATACTCCAAAATAAGGGCCTCAGAAGCCAAAGTTGTTCTCTAACCTTCTGCCCTCCGGTCTCTGTCTCCTCCAAGGCTAGTCAGAGAAACTAGAATTCTTCAACATGGGTCATAGGACCCATAACCTCTTTCCCCAAAGCCAGCCACAAAACCTAAGCTTATGGCCCTAACTTTCCCTCTGCTATTCTGTAAAAACTGGCCATAAAGAAACTGTCTGGCCTACCTTGTCTAACTGTAGGTCATGAGAGCATTCCAGAGAGGGTCTGGCTCCACGCCTGGAAGAAAGGAATGCTGCACAGAGAGACCGGGAGGAATCTAGACAGACAGGCCTTGCTGGGTCTCCCCAAGCAGTCTGTTCGCACTCAGTCAGACGCTCTTCGTCCAGTCCCATTTCCACATGTCATTTAATCATTCATTCATTCACTCATTCATTACGTGATCATGCTATTGAGTGGTTTTGCTAGTGGCTATATTAACTTGTGTGGTTCTATTCACACTTTCAGCTGATCTTACATACTTCTCTGTGTTGATATACATATATATGTATATATATAAATATACATGTTTATATAAAAATATATACATATACATATATAGATATAGATATAGATATTTTTTCTGAGACAGAATCTTCTCTCTGTTGCCCAGGATGGAGTGCAGTGGTGCAATCTTGGCTCACTGCAACCTCTGCCTCCCAGGTTCAAGGGATTCTATTGCCTCTGGCTCACAAGTAGCTGAGACTACAGGGGCCTGCCACCATGCCTGGCTAATTTTTTTTTTTGGCATTTTTAGCAGAGACGAGACAGGGGTTTCAGCATGTTGGCCAGGCTGGCCTTGGACTCCTGAGCTCAAGTGATCTGCTCACCTCAGCCTCCCGTAGTGCTAGGATTCCAGGCGTGAGCCACTGCACCCGGCCAGGACTTTTAAACTCAACAGGTTAAAAATCACACTCAGGGCCAGGCGCAGTGGCTCACACGTGTAATCCCTGCACTTTGAGAGCCTGAGGTAGGCAGATCACTTGAGGTCAGGAGTTCGAGGCCACCCTGGCCAACATGATGAAACCCGGTCTCTACTAAAAACATGAAAAATTAGCCAGGCATGGTGGCGGGCGCCTGTAATTCCAGCTACTCAGGAGGCTGAGGAGGAGAATTGCTTGAACCCAGGAGGCAGAGGTTACAGTGAGCCGAGATTGCACCACTGCACTCCAACCTAGGGAACAAAAGCGAAACTCCATCTCAAAATATTTTTTTAAAAATCACACTCAGTATTTCCTCCCCATTTTCTCCCTTGTTCACACAGGCATGATGACACGCTCACACACACACAAACACACACACTTGAGCTCCAGGGCTTGGCTAATGACTCATCAACCTTCTAGTCACCTTCTTCAACTCCCCTTGTCACTCCCCATCGGCCCCATCTGATAGGTCTGTTTTTCTCAAAACACTCCTTCCCTTGACTTCTGTGATGCCACCCTGTTTAATAAATATCTCAACATAAGACTTTTTACTTTTCCTGCTTTGGAAAAATCCACAAAACAAACCTTGAGATATATTTGCTCAGCCATGGAAACCCAGAAATGTCTGCAGATGAATGTTATTGTATCTGAACAGCTGTACCTCTTTCATCAGTTTCCCAAGGCTCCTCACTAGGCCACAATTCTCCCTTGAGTCTTTGAAATTCTAATTCCAACTTCCCCACTTCTCCTTAACTGGAAGAAAGCCTCACTGTGGAAGGTGCTCTAACAGTAGATTGCAGGCAAATCCCTAATTTAGAAATACCTGACTTCAAGCAATGGGCGCTTGTGAACGGGGCTGCAGCTCCTGTGAGGAGAGATTGCTCTCAGCCCGCTTCTGTTCCGGTTCTGACACACCCAGAGTGACTGCTGCTACCTTTTCATAAGTAAATGTCCACACGCACTTAGAGACCTTAGAGAATTCACTTGGCCAGCACCCAGGGAGAGAGGAAGTGAGAGAACTGAAAAGCCACTGAGCAGGTGTACTTTCTCACTCGATGGATGTAACCTAGCCAACATGAAATAGTGGTCTCAGGACAAGAACCCGGAAGATGCCACCCCATATGCAGAGCTGTATTTGAGGGCATTCTCAGAGTTGGAAAGGCTGGTTGAAATCTGAAGGCTTCTGGGCAGAAAAAAGACGGTGCTCTCCAGAGGCTGGGCATCCCTCAGATCATATCTGATCAGGCCCAAAGAACCCACTCACGTTAATCGGATACATAGAAGTTCCTTGCATTAATTGGATGCATAGACCAACAATCCATTCTAAATACAAGGGTGGATTATTATGCCTTTCTAATGTCCACGATACATTTTTACTATCCTAAATACCACATACATATTAGATGGAATCAACATTCCTTGGAAACTGACCTAGACATTAACAGATTTATGGGGAACTAAGCAACGATTCCCAGGGTGAATTCTGTGGGACACTGGATCCAGAAGATGCTTCATGAGAAAGAGTGCTCTGTGGCCAAATAAAGCTGGCAAGCAACCCATACTATGGCATCATTCTAGAGAGTCCCAATGTATGGAATAATAATACTTTCTTTTTGAGATGGAGTCTCGCCCTGCAGCCGGGGCTTGAGTGCAATGGCGTGATTTAGGTTCACTGCAATCTCCACCTCCTGGGTTCAAGTGATTCTCCTGCCTCGGCCTCCCGAGTAGCTGGGACTACAGGTGCCCACCACCACACCTGGCTATTTTTTTGTATTTTTAGTAGAGATGGGGTTTCACTATGTTGGTCAGGCTGGTCTCGAACTCCTGACCTGGTGATCCTCCTGCCTTGGCCTCCCAAAGTGCTGGGATTGGCGTGTGCCACCACACCTGGGCAATGATAAAGACTCCTTAAAGTCCTGCCATAAAAAAACAGAGTAACATTAGCATTTCCCTAACCTACTTTATCACTGTAATTCATTAGTGGTTTTGTTTTAGCAAAACGGCACCCTAAAACACAAGGTGGTGAATCCTGCTCTAGACACACACTGCACAGAGTGCGCCTCTGAGCAGGCTCGCCTTTAGCAAGTTCACTGTGCTGTGGCAGAATGACTGACTACTTTTCGGCCTCCATTTCCTCACCTAAAAAATGCAATGAATAGTACTGTTGTGAGAAATGACCGACATACTATCTGTAAAGGCATTTTATAGTGTGCCATGAAAGTGTCATCTGCTTTCTTCAGAGGCATGCAGTCCTGAGGGTGTACTTCTTGAGGTGCACCTCCTCAAAGTGCCTTGACAAGGGATACTTTTGTTCTTTCATTCATTCATGTATTCATGTATTCATTCATTCATTCTACACCACCTCCTTGAGTGGTAGGTCTTAAGGGCTATAGCCTGGTTTTGGACCCTGGGAAGCTTACGGACAGTGGGCAAGTGAGGTCCACTGCATTACTTTAATCACACACACACACGGAATTCTGGTGGTGGTGAGAAGGTGCCTTACCAGGGAAAGAATGGGATCAGGGAAATCTTTCTTGCTGAAACTGTTAGGATTCTTGAAGGATCATTAAGAAGTTTGCATGTACAAGGGGGGCTGGGCACAAGGTCAAAACACTATATAATACAGAGAGTATGTGAAGAGTGGGCCTCCCATGAACGGGTCACATGAACATGGACCCCCAGGGAAGCATACCCTGTGTTCCATCTGTGATACCTGATTTATCTGTGTCCTCCAAGCAGAGGAAGAGGGTTTAGCTAAGCAAGGAGGTTCTTTCCGGAAAGTGGAAGTCCTGAGGTGGGTGGCGGCCCTTGACTTTGAATAAGGTGTGTGTGTGGGCACCGTGGGTGGGGATCGGAGTGCTGCTGCGAAGTTATCTTTAAATAAGCAAGCGCCAGAGCCGTCCTGGGAGTCAAGCTCCCTCCCATCCGCCCTACACTAGAGGCCAAGTGTGGGCAATTTTAGTTTCCTCCTCTGCTCTGATGAACTGTCTGCAGGAGAATATTTCCAGACAAAAGAGGTCTTGATGGCAGGTTGGTTTACCCCATGTCTCCAGCCTCCAACTACTGAGAGCAAGTCTCCAAACCCAAAGGCTCCTGTCAGCAGCCTTCCCACATTCCAAAAGCAAAGGCCCTCACTGTCCCAGGACCCTACCAATCCCTGGCCTGTGATGCTCCCTCCGGAGGTGCGGGAGCATGGAAGCGCATGGGTATTCCAGAGGCAAAAGGAAAATGAACACCTCTCTATCCACTTATGACAATATCCTCCCATATTTGAACTAGGTAAAAAGTTAATAAAAGCTCTGCCGTCAGCGAACATGACTACATCAGAAGCCAGAGTTGCTCAATCTGTTGCCTGCCACTGTCAACTCTCAAACCATCAGGCAAGGGAACAGACAAACAGGGAGGTGTGGGCGAGAGCCTGGATATGGCTGTTCCCATAGAAGAATTAAGCAGGGTTTTTGTTTGTTTGCTTTTTGGAGGCATAGTTTTACTCTGCCTTTGGGGTTCAATTGATTCTCCTACCTCATTCTCTTGAGTAGCTGGGATCACAGGCGTGTGTCACTGCGCCTGGCTATTTTTTGTATTTGTAGTAGAGATGGGGTTTCACCAGGTTGGCCAGGCCAGTCTCAAACTCCTGACCTCAAGTGATCTGGCAGCCTCAGCCTTCCAAAGTTCTGGGATTACAGGTGTGAGCCACCGCATCCGGCCAATGAAGCAGGATTCTAACAACACCCACCTTTATTTAAAATGTTGATTTTTGCTTCTTATCTATTTTTTACATTCAATTTGGTTTTGTTAAAAATATTGTATTAAAATACTATTTATCTTAATGACGGAGTGCTGCCCTGTGTGTTTCTTTTCCCCCCAGTAAGCCCTTGGCTCTCCTAGTGTTACTTTTTGCTTCAGTATTTACAGTCCTTTTGTTGAAGGGCACTCTGATGTTTCCTTACCGATGACAGCGTGTTCCTAAGAAACCGCAATGTGCCCAAAACCGCGCAAGGAAGTGCGGCTACGCGCGGAATTAGGAAAACCCCAGGGGTTTGAGAGCTCAGAGAATGAGGCTCCTCTCAGGGCCAGGGGGACTGATCTTGCCCTGTATTCTTGGCAACAGGCTTTAAAGCTGAACTTTTCCAAATCCTGCTGTCTCCGTGTCGTCGAAGGGCGCGCCACCGCCGGTGGGTGGACGCTGAGCTGGTGGGAGCCCAGGCCAAACCCAGAGGCGGGCGGGGAGTCCTCAAAGTGGGAAAGTGGCCCCGTCCCTTCCCAGCAGGAATCTGGAGCTCCTCCTCCGCCCACCGCGCCGCCATCAATCACGGCGACAACCCGTCTGTCCTCTGCCGGGACACACCGACCCTCCTGCTTTTCCTCCCGGGGAAGGAAATCTCTGGTTGGAGCATCTGCCCCGCACACTGGCTGGACGCACCGGAGAGGTCCGCGCTGGGGACCAAAGCTGTGCGACCCCCAGTCTAGCCCGCGCGCACAGGCACAGGGAGCACCTGACACCCCGGAGGCAGCCCCGCAGGCAGAACGCCACAAAGGTCCGTACCACCCCGTCCCGTGCACACGCGCCCACACCCGAACCTCCAGTCACCGTGCCTGCAACCTCCAGCTGCCCCTCACCCCCAGCCCCGCACAGGGCAGATGAGGACACCCGGTGACCCTGCCTGGATCAGCGGCCACCTCGCGCTCCGGAATGTCACTCCGTCCCTTTCCCCACTCCCCGATTCCCCCTTCTTTCCCCCACGACAGAAGGACGCTCTCTAGCTCTCTTCCCCAAGTCCCCTCCAGAGTGGGGAAGAGAGTGCGCGCAGCAGCACCCGCGTCTGGAACCCCAGAGAGCCCCGCCCATGCACTGAGCCTCTCCGGGCTCCGGCTGCGGGCACAGTGGGTGGGGTCTCCGCTGCCACCGCCCCTTACCTCGCGCGGGCCCTCCTTGCAGGTCCCGGAGGCGGGGGCAACCGGTGGTCCCGCAGATGAGCGAGGGGCTGGGTTTCCCCGCCCAGGAGGAGCAAGAGGAGAAGGAGGAAAAGGAGAAAGGGGGAGACCGGAGGGCAGGAGAGGGGAGAGGAGGGGAAAGAGGAGGAGGGGAGGAAAGGGCTTTGTGTTAGCCTCCAGTCCCTCAGCGGTAGGAAGCCATCCCCCTCCCCCAGCCACCTTCCCAAGCTCGCGGAGGGGGTGGGGCGGGGGCAAACCGATCGCAGGCACCGAGCAAGGCGCCTGCGCGACCCCAGGTCCGGCCATTTCCCCCCCGATCCCCTCGTACCTCCAGCCCCCGCCCCTCCTGACAACCACCCGCCACGCTTACCCGTGGCTGCAACCAGGAAAAACTGCGATCAGAAAGTTTATCCAAGCCGGAGCAAACTTGGCTGGACCGGCCCCTGACCCGCCTTGGCGCCGCCGCCCCTGTCTTCTGCGCTCCCTGGCCGGGCGAGGACCGGAGTTCTGTTCTCGGAGATTCTTGCCTTTCTTGTTTTAGCACAAACGCGCGCGCACCCCTTTCCCATAACGAGCCCCGCCGCCCAACTGCAGATCCCGGGGTCCGTCGCGGGGGCTGGAAAAGCCTCACTCGAGAGGCCCGAGCTGGCTGCGGCTCTGGGTCCCGGGGCAGGTTCTCCGGGGTTGGATACGCTCTGGACGCCTGGGCGGGTTGTTTTGCTTCGGCCTCTCTGGCCCGGGGCCCGCCCACCCCGCCTGGAACGCGGTTTGGATCGGGGCTGGGAGCCCTCTGTAACCCCAGCTGAAGGCCGCGCAGGCAGGCGGGGACGCGGCGGCCGCGGGGCCGGTTCCTTGCCAGCATCCAGCCTTTTCGGAGTCAGGCGCGTCCCTGGTGATTCGCTGAGTTTTCCCACTTCCCACGGGGACCTCACCTTTGGGAATGAATTGCTGACAGTGTTAGAGTAACAAAGTAGCCAGTGTCACGGAAGGAACCTTAGAGAGACAAAGGGACACCTTAAAGGTGTCAGAGAGATGTTTGTTTTTGGACAGAAACGGACAGCGAAGCGGAAAGAAAACAGACCGTATTTCTGTTCTTGTTCCGCTTCAGACAGTAGCAGAGGAGACTCGGACTTCATTGTGTTGATTCTCGCAATTCCTGTCTTCTAAAATCCCAAGACTTATTTATCGTTTATCATCATCAGCTCAGATCTCAGGAAAACAGCGCACTGCCTTTCTGTTTGCTGCAAGACACCCACTCAGTAAAGAATGGAACACCTGCTGGTGCTAGGCGCAGTTCTAAGCCCTGGGGTGTGTCTGCGAGCCAAGCAAAGGTCTCCCTGGCCTGCCGGAGCTGGAGTCCTTGGGGGAGAGGTGGGAGACGGAGGGCAAACCATGGCCATCCCTAAGTAAATTATTTGAGGTGTTGGAAGAGGTCGGTGATAGGGAAAACGAGAGAAAGAATACGGAGGCCCAGAGTGCTGGTGTCTGGCGCAGGTCACAGTATTAATTAGGTGGTGTGGTTGCAGTCGTCCTCCGGGAGGGTGGGATTTGAGCTGCAAGTGTTTGAGCAGAGGGTGACCAGCTCTGTTCCTGCTGAGAACTCGGTCTGATGCTGTTTGGAGAGCCCGCTGTCCCGGCAGAGGTGGAAATAAGCGAGGAGGTGATTGAAATAGTCCAGGCTAGAGATGGCGGCTGGCGGCAGGCTCAGAGCAGGGGCGGTGGGGAGAGGTAGTTGGATTCGTATTTATTTTGAAGGTCGAGCTGATAGCAATTCCTGAGAAGTTGGATACATGGGCAAAAGGGAGAGGTGGACAGAGAGGCAGACCTGGCCCCACGTCCCTCTCTCTTCCCTTTTCAGCCCCAGAGTGATCCAGTTTTATAGATAAAGGGGTGCCACGTAAATGCTAAAGACACGTGGCCTCCGCTCCTTCTTCACATCCATTTTCTTTTCTCCCCTTCCACCCACTCTCTTGAAAACGTCCTTCCTCTGTCCACATTGCTCCAAGGATGGTCCCAGAGGCTCAGTCTCTTCCAGAACTTAGGTGCCATATGACTCTGCCCTTCCCCAGGAAGCATCTTTTACTGTAGAAATAAATTGGGGGTTATTTATTCAAAAGGATTTCTTGAGTAGCTACTGTGCACCAAGCACTGTCATAGGCCCTGGAGCTAGAGTTGTGAACCAGATGGAAACATCTCCATGTTCTCTGGGAACTCACAATCTAATGGGGAGGGAGAGACAATAAATCAGACAATGTGAATGTGTGGGATTCAAGCGGCAGAGAAAAGCTGAACCGGGAAGAGGAAGCGAGTGCTGGGGAGGCTGCACTTTAAAAGGGAGACACTCACCAGAAAAACCGTGAGGACACAGGGACTTACCTCATTTTTGGCAGATTTGACCTCTCATCCCAGGGTCCCAAGAGCCTAGATTGGCCGCTTCAGTCAGCTGCAGACAGCTCAAGTGCTCCTGGGGCACTTTTTCAGTCTTGGGGACCAGCTAGCCAAGAAAATGCCATTTCTAATGAAGTTATTTCCCCATTAAAGTAAACCAAGAAGCGTTGGTTCTGGAGGCATTGCCCAGAGCTGGCAACTCAGCAATTTGTTTCTCTCCTCTGTTGAGCAGGGCAGGTAGAGGTGAGTGTCATGTGTGCATAAAATGACTTGAAAAGAGTAACTTTCTTACTCCAGGGTCTGAGCTGTAAAATAATCATCATAATCGTTATGGCAATTCTCATTTATTTATTGGTGCGTGCAGATACTTACTGGGAGACCTCACCCTGCTCAAGCCCCATACCATAGCCCCGTGGAAGATAGAGAATATCAGCAGATAGTTAACTATTTCCATGGATTAGACATTACCCCAACAGTTGTTATGCATCTCCCTCTCCAAAGATATGGTTCACTAGAGAGAGGAGGTTCTAAAAAGGAAGGGACATTGAAAAGGATACGTTCTTTCTACTTTTTGACTTATATCTTTGTTTCCGAATCTAAAAGAAAGGAGTCAGTGATTATTCCTGGGGTGTGGGATTATTGAGCCCTTAACATTTTTTTTTCTTTTGGAAACAGTTTCCCTCGGTCAGGCACACTCAGTGGTGCAATTTTGGCTCATTGCAACGTCCACCACCCAGGCTTAAGCGATCCTCTTAGCTCAGCCTCACAAGTAGCTGGGACTACAAGTGAATGCTGCTGTGTCTGACTAATTTTTGTATTTTTGTAGAGACGGGGTCTTACCATATTGCCCAGGCTGGTCTTAGAATCCTGGGCTCCATTGATCCGCGTGCCTTGACCTCCCACAACGTTGAGATTACCCATGTGAGCCACTGTGCCTGGCATGGGCCCTTAACTTTTCAAGTTGCATGTTTATGAAGTCTTTAAATATTTAAAATATTGTATGAATCCTTAGTTAATCTGAAGAAAAACCGGAAAGGGATCCCAATCCAGGTCCCAAGAGAGGGCTCTTGGTTCTCACACAAGGAAGAATTGGAGGCGAATCCAGAGTAAAGTGAAAGCAAGCTTATTAGCAGCCACGTGGTCTACTCAGCTGCTTATACATATTTACTTCTTGATTGTATGCTAAACAAGGGGTGGATTATTGGTGAATTTTCCTGGAACCAAGGATTCCTCCCCTTTTTAGATCATATGGGGTAACTTCCAGAGGTTGCCATGGCATCCGTAAACTTTAATGGCGCTGGTGGGAGTGTCTTTTAGTATACCAATGCATTATAATTAGCCATGAGGTTGACCGGAGGTCACTTGCATCCCCATCTTAGTTTTGGTGGGATCTGGCTGGCTTCCTTACCACATGCTGTTTCATCAGTAAGGTCTCTGTGACCTGTATCTTCTGCTAACCTCCTGTCTCATCCTGTGACTAAGAATGCCTTAACCTCCTAGGAATGCCACCCAGTAGGTCTCAGCTTGATTTTACTCATCCTGTATTCAAGATGGAGGTGCTCTAGAGAAAGAATTGGAAACACAAGCGTGAAGGCAATCTTATATAAACTTACTTTAGTATTTAAATTACTTAAAAATTTCCAGGTGTTGAGAGTTCCTTGTTGCTCGTTAAATTTTTGTTATCAATTTCCAGGTACATTGCATGATGGTGAAGGAGGAGCTTGTTGAATTTCTGCTTTTTACAGAAATTGGTTCTTTGTGATCTAATACATGATCAATTTTGAGAAAATATTTCCATATTTATCTGAACAGAAGGCAGATTAGACAAGCCCCATAATCTAGTTCTAGACTGAGCATGCAGTTGTTGTTAAAACATTGTTTATCAGTGAACATGAACAATAATTAAATATTCGTTTGTCTTGTATATTTATTCTAAGTCTCTGAGTCATTTATTATTTCTTCTTCCAGACAGTCTTCTAGATTATACTCTGTCCTCTACCCTACTCATCACGAAGACAATGGACTTAGGATGGGTGTATTAACATCTTCCATTTCAACTGGAATTCTGACATTTTTCTTTGACTTTCAGCTGTTGTTGTTCCAGCATTTTCCTGCTGTGTTACACAGTACATAAATATGGATGTGTACTATCCCATCACCATGGACTGCATAGTTACTGCTATAATAAAACTCCTTTGCCCAATTCAACGTGTTTCCCTTGATTTATTCTTTGACTGAAATTCATATCATGATCCCTGCTTTCTTTGTCTTTGCATCCATGTAGTAAATTTTTGTCCATCCTTTCTTTTAAGTCTCTCTGTATCATTATATTTTGGAGGAGTCCATTTAAAGCAACATATATCACGATTGGATTTGGTTTTTAAACCCAACTCATGAATTTGGTTTAATTTCTGCCATCTTGTTTTATGCTTTTAGGGTTTTGTGAAACCCTGCCATTTCCTAAGATCTGTGTTTCTCGGTTAAACTGACTGTGCTCTATTTCTTTATATATTCTCTAGTCATTTGGAAAGTATATTTGTTGTTTTAACCATAGTGGTCCTTTCATTTCTTTTCTTTCTTTTTTTTGAGATTGAGTCTCACTCTGTTGCCAGGCTGGAGTGCAGTGGCACAATCTCCACTCACTGCAACCTCTGCCTCCCTGGTTCACGTGGTACATGCACATCTATCACTTTTCTTGTGAAGAGGTTGGTTTATTTCCCCTCTATCTGAATCTAGTCTCATTTTCTGAATTGCTTTGACCAAGAGAATGTGGCAAAAATGATGCTCTGTGATTTTTTTTTTGCTTTGGGACTTTAAAGCTCTGGCTACCCCAGTTTCATGGGATCCAAAATCATGTCATCATGGGATCCAAAATCATGTCATCATGGGATCCAAAATCATGTCATCATGGGATCCAAAATCATGTAAAGAACTTGGGAAAGGCTGCTGAATAATAAGACACCATGTAGGCAGAGACTCCTAGACAACTTTCCACCATCCAAATTATTATAGACACTGATTTCACATCCTTTAAGAATCTGTTTTAGGGGTCCAAAGTGGCTCCCGCCGGAGGTCATGGCGCTCGCGAAGGCGAGGTCATCAGTTCAAGGCTAACCTGAGCAACCTCATAAGCTCAAACTGATTGGCAAAAAAAAAAAAAAAAAAAAGAATCTGCTTTATTTTCCGACTTGAAGCCATTTCCCAGGGTATGTTGGAATATGAATACTTCTTTATTGATTGGCATACAACACAGTTAAACTTTTTGATTTATCTAAGCATTTCTTTTTCAGATCTAAAAAATTTTCTTCAGAGAAAACTTTGATTACTACATCTGCTCTAATTGTAATGATTCCTTCATCTAGAGATGGGTCAGCAGCTACAGCCTGCATGAAAAATCTGGCCCACCACCTCCTCTTGGGAACTGTACCAAATTATCTTTTCAATGGCAAGCATCTCATTCAAGGATTTGTTGGCTTTACCATATGTGAATAATAATTTTTTTGGGGGGGGGGTTTAGGAGTAGAGGTTTATTTATTTATTTTTTGCCATTGCTCTTATTCTTTTCTTTTTTTTTTAAATTTTTTATTGGATTTTAGGTTTTGGGGTACATGAGCAGAGCATGCAAGACAGTTGCGTAGGAACACACATGGCAGTGTGCTTTTCTTTCCTTCTCCCCTTCACCCACATTTGGCATTTCTCCCCAGGCTATCCCTCCCCACCTCCCCCTCCCACTGGCCCTCCCCTTTTCCCCCCAGTAGACCCATGTGTTTAGTACTCCCCTTTCTGTGTCCATGTGTTCTCATTTTTCATCACCCGCCTATGAGTGAGAATATGCGCTGTTTCATTTTCTGTTCTTGTGTCAGTTTGCTGAGGATGACATTCTCCAGATTCATCCATGTCCCTACAAACGACACAAACTCATCATTTCTGATTGCTGCATAATATTCCATGGTGTATATGTGCCACATTTTTCCAATCCAGTCTATTATCAATGGGCATTTTGGTTGATTCCAGGTCTTTGCTATTGTAAACAGTGCTGCAATGAACATTCGTGTACATGTGTCCTTATAGTAGAACGATTTATAGTCTTTTGGATATATACCCAGTAATGGGATTGCTGGGTCAAATGGAATTTCTATTTCTAATACTCTGGTTTCTCTTCAGATCGTATAAATCTTTCGCCTTTTAAGTGAATAATAATTAAACCTACATTTAAAAAATCACCTGGGGCTGGGTGCAGTGGCTTATGCCTCAGCACTTTGGGAAGCTGAGGCAGGCGGATCACTTGAAGCCGGGAGTTCAAGACCAGCCTGGCCAACACGGCAAAACCTGTCCCTACTAAAAATACAAAAAATTAGCCAGACGTGGTGGCATGTGCCTGTAGTCCCAGCTACTCAAGAGGCTGAAGCAAGAAAATCGCTTGAACCTGGGAGGTGGAGGTTGCAGTGAGCCAATATCATGCCACTGCACTCCAGCCTGGGCGACAGAGCAAGATTCAATCTCAATAACATAAAATTAATCTGGCTCACAAAAGTTAAAATACACGATTTGGCCCTTTACAAAAAGTTCGCTGACTGCTGGTCTAGATCACCTGTAATTCTTAGCTTGTGCTGCTCGTGTCTGTGTTATTGTCTTGGCTTCCTCACCTACCATTTGCTCTTCAGCCTGCTCCATTCCGTCCCAACACTAGGCTGAAAGGGTTAAAGTCACTATGAGGAAGGAGACCTCTTTCTCTTAGGCTACCAAGGACACTTCCCCTTTAGCCTTCCGCATTGCATTTCAAAAGGGTAAGTGAAAAGTCAGCCAGAGGAGGTCAGTGTAAGGGCGGGGTGCTCCCGGCCAGGTTAAGGATTAAACCCCCTACTGCTAACCACAACCCTATCTATATATAGTTCCCGGACGTGGTATGGAGAAGTTTTCCCTGGAAAGCATTGTTCTTGCTCAGCGGCTCAGACCCCCCACCTAGTTGCGACCCCCCACGCTCTGGACCCTCTCACCTGTGCACCTCTTAGACTGTAAGCCTTTAAAAGGGCCAGGGTTTTCTCTGTCGGGGAGCTCGGCTGTTGAGGCACCTCTGCCTGTGGCAGCTCCTGGCTGAATAAAATTACCACTTCCTTCCCTGTTTGGTGTTTGAGTGGTTTGCTCGCGGCTGCTCCTGCTTCAACTGTTGTCCAAGATGCTACTAATTCTGACTCCCAGGCAGAGGAGTTGGAAAACTTTATCCAGGAAGAAAGGGAAGGCTTCAGGTGTGCCTTGACAGAGCCTGGTGTGATGGGGAATCTGCAGGTGGGCTAACTGCAGGGAGGAAGGCTGTCCTCTGTGGTTGGGTAGAAGTGCATATTTCATTCTCTCTGGCTGGTCCTTAGTTGGAAATTAGCAATAAAATGAGGGAAGCTGCTACTAATCGAGTCCTGGTCCTGGGAGACTGTTACAGGGGTTATTGTTCGGCTGCTTGGAGCAGTTGTTAGATTTGGTGGTCTGACTTCCCAGAAAATTGACTTGTAAATGGCAGGCTGGCTTCCTGGGCTAGCTGCAGC